GGTATACTGTTGCCGAAAAAGAAGTATACTATAGAGGTGTACATACAAAATATTAAATGGTACATATAGAATGCAAATTTTAAAACAGATGGAAAACATTAAAATTACATTACATAAACTACTAATAAAATTATAATTTATTTTCGTTCAAAGTATGTATCAGCATAGTATCTGTAACAGCAACGGAATATATGTTGATATCTGACATAATAAGCACTAAATACATAGCATAACACTATAACTTAGAACTAAGATTTCGTACAAATATCATGTTCAAAACAATAGTCAGCATCATATCTCAAATTCCATAAGCTTTTATGATGACAATATATAAGTACGTAAATTACCAAGAAGAACGAAGTTACTGTAATACATTGTAACATTGTTATATTATATTGGATTATTAGTTACGCATCCCATAGCGATTTTACCTTAACACCTTTTTAAAAATAAGTAGTTAATTGAATGGATGTTAAACTGTTAATGTATTCTGTAATATGCATTACTACGTTGACGTATACAATGCGATTAACCATAATAAGTTTTACTAAAATTTTGTTGTACATAATATTTAATTTTCAGAATATCAAATGCGCATGCTAATACTATTACAGCCAACAAATTTCGTGGAATCCCTAACTGCTTTGTACGAGAAAATTGACTATTCGGGAAACATTCATAGTTGTATCTCTTGCAAAGGTTTATTCGAAGTTAACCGCTTCCCAAATAGAAGATGTGAAAGCACGGTTTAAAAAACAATATGGAACATGGGCGACTGGGACGCAGATATCCAATCATTTTCTGAAAAAATCGTATGAAGCGCATTGAATTTCCAAACGAACACACAAAAACTTTCTGGAAATCTACTTTATGATCGGATGAGACTAAATATTGTATTTTTGGAATACAAGGAAAACAGATGGTGCGGCGAAAAATTGTTACGGCCTTTGAAGCACGAAACCTTTCTTCAACCGTAAAGCGTGGGAAGGGTGGAGTTCAATTGTGATATATGGCAGCAAGTGAAGTCGGTGGCATTGTAGTGAATAAATTTGATTATCTTAAAATTTTAAACCGATAAATGAATAAAGTGTTGACAAATTAAAGTTGCCAAAGGTCTTCGGTTCTTACAGGATAATGACTCTAAGTCACTGGAACTTGCTCGTCTTTAGCTACTATAACCGAGTTAACAATAGCGCGCCAGTCGTTTCTTTTTTTTCTAAAGGTGGCGCCAATTGGAGAATCAAAGCGCAGCTTGGTCCTTCTCCATCTGGTCTTTCCAACGGAGTGGAGGTCTTCCTCTGCTTCCCCTGGCGGGTTCAGCGTCGAATACTTTCAGCGCTGGAGTGTTTTCGTCCATTCGGACAACATGACCTAGCCAGCGTAGCCGCGTTCTCTTAATTCGCTGAACTCTGTCAATGAAAAATGGCCAACGTGTAAAGGACCATAAATCTTTGGCAGAACTTTTCTCTCGAAAACTCGTAACGTCGACTCATCAGTTATTGTCATCGTCCAAGCCTCTGCACCATATAGCAAAACGAGAATTATGAGTGACTTATACAGTTTGGCTTTTGTTCGTCGATAGAGGACTTTTCTTCTCAATTGCCTACTTAGTCCAAAGCACCTGTTGGCACGAGATATTCTGCGTTGGATTTTCAAGCTGAAATTGTTTTTGATGTTAATACATATTCCAAGATAGACGAAATTATCTACAACTTCGAATTTCTGACTGTCAAAAGTGACGTAATGATATCAATATCATCAGCACACGCCAGCAGGTTTACACTCTTGTAGAAGATGGTACCTGCCGTTTCATTCTGCAGCTCGAATTATATAGCTCGGCCGGCAATCCACCAGCCCCCGCCGCTTTGTTGTTCTTCAGAAGGGAAATTGTTATTCGAACTAAGTCATGGTCGGGCAATGGACCGTTGACCGTTGTTGTTGTAACGGCAGAATTCTGGCGAGTTGACAGTCCTTGGCCGGATAAAAATCCGGGTCTGTTCCGGTTTTCGTAGACCCCACTGTCGCGGGACAATAGGATTAATATAGCTTTGGTGGTTTTTCAGATACATATGTACATTAAACATATTAGAGTTTGGAGGAACACCCGCTTTTGAAAGTTTAAAATGAGCGATGCCCATTTATGCATAGCTTACTTGCAACAAATTATGGTTTAGTATATTACTGTTGTAATGGTAGGCCCAAGAAACGTGCTGTTACGACGGGGTTAGACGATAGGGAATGGGGTGTTAGATGAGTGGGATTCATATTGCAGGAATATATATTTGGTATGTCGATGTGGATTCTGCGTTAGTAGGAGTCCGCTGTGATGGTGTGTGTCTCAAGTGAGTTGCGTAATCAATCGTCGACGTAATCACGGAAAAACATCTTGTTTTTGTTGCTGTTATTGTTAAAGCGGCAGTGTTTGGCTAAATTGTCAGTCCTTGACCGGATAAAAAAAAATCCGGCTCCATTCAGGTTACTTCGATTCAATTGTCGTGTGAATGGTCCTCTTGACGACTTCGCTTCAAAAGTCAATGCAGGGATGTTTTCGCACAAACCACGGAGAATAGTGCTTTGGCATCATCAATTGTAATGTTATAGTCCAGTCTGTACTTCTACGTCCAGTTCATGAACATGGTCGCTGTGTTTTTAGCGGAAGGAAAAGAGCTTAGTACTCTTGCAGAGAAAAAACAAAAAAGGTTGGAAAGATAGCGGTAGTTCGTTGAACGTGCTGCGTGAAATTTTCGAGAAATATATTTTTTTTTTTTTGGTTCCCTCATCGGTTAGTGTACACTGTAATAGACATTCTCTCAAATTTTGAAATCGAACCTGAAATTATTGCGGTCGCTACAGCGTACGGTCACAACAGCATTTCTTGTAGAAACGGAACAGAGTGGGGAACGGACCGATCAATCTTTAACCGCGTTTTTCTCAGAATGGTATTTTTCTAAACGGTTTCGACTCTCAAAGGAAGAGTTTTGAAGATATCTAGTTCCAATTTTAAGAGAATATTTTTAACGTCGTTCGTTCTGGCACTATGTAAACTTTTTTTTTAATCTTCCTGTTTTTTTTTTTTACGAAAAACGATCGAAAAAAGGGCCACATTCGAACCGCCGCATTTTTGTCAAATTTCAAAAAAGACTCCATAGCGCAATAGCGACTTTTTGAAATTTTTAAGGACGTTTATTTTTACGTGTCATTCCAACAATTTATTTAATTATTATATACCCAATTAATAAACAAAAAAAAATCATTTTGTATTCGTCATGAATATATACATAATATTTCAGAGTTTCATCAAGATCTTACTACTTACATAAGTTATCGAGTGCAGAGACATATGGACGGACAGTATCAGTTTTGGGTCTTACCATCAATTATTATACTCTCCGTTGCTATTTAAAACTAACAAATTTTTAAGTCATTGAATTTTCATATTTTGAGTTTTTTTAGTCCCATATTTGGGTTTTAACATTTAAAAACTGTTAGTAAATAAATTCTGTAATGCAGTATTTGCAACCCAGCAGCTTCGAAAGTATATAAATATGTGTTTACAATAAGCTTATATTCAGATATCGCATTTATTTGTACCCACTAAATGAGATACATCCATTTCAATTTATAATATTAATATACAGTTAAAATTTATGCGGCAACCAAAGTCTTCTTGTGTTAAACATGTCCGTTCGATCTGTATGAAATCGTTTCGCCATACACGAAGCAAAAATCATTTTTGCGTTCGTTCGTCAAATAGTGAATATGTGCGACAAGCAAGCGGAAAATTGTTCTTCCGCGATCTTTCCTATTCGGGGACACAAGAAAAATGAGATTTTGTGTGCACCATACGCGACATACATGTGTGCACACCGATCGTAATCGAACAATATCGCGAGCATGGATTGGTATGCGCACAAGCCCAAACACGAGGAAATTGTAATCGCACACATACCGATCGAACGCATATGTGTGTCGTGTGTGGCCACTTTTAAGCTGCAATTATATATCTCGAATATAGAAAACACCACTCTTTGAGTTGTGTAAGGTACGTGATAAAAGTACATGACAAGTTGCAGTACTTGTCAAATAAAAAGGTTTTCGATACAAGATTGAACTTTTATCGTAGAGTTCATTTGAAAGACGGATATATACGGATTTGACTAATGAGCAGCTTCTTGAAAAATTTCAAAGGAACCACTTTGCGTTTATGCAGACAAATGGCCAGGCCGACATAACTAAATTCACTCAGCATGTAACGCAGATCGTATATAAACATATAAATTTATAGGGCATACGGCGTTCCCTTTTAGGGAAATACTTTCGAACTGTAGCATAATGATACAAAAATAAACTTATTTGTTTAAAACTAGTTGTCCGTATATGAGATTTCTTCCTATACATAAAATATTTATAAATGCTTTTTTCGAGCGAGCGTAACAAGAACACTCTATATAAGAAGGATTATTGAATGTATAACAATACTCACATTATAATTACTATGTATTACGCAGTTATTGTTCTAACCTACCTATCTGGTACATATATTTTACTCAGCCAAATTATTGATGTATGCATTGCATGTATGGTATGGATGTATGTATGTGCGGGAATTGTAAGGGTTTTGAAATGTTTGATCGTTATTTGTGGTATTTTGTATAAATTTGTAGTTTTTTACTTACTTTTATTAATTGTTTTATTGTTAATCGATCTATGGGACGGTGAATAATAATTATTACTGTTTGGTTCATTTAAATTATGATCGTTTCTTGTTGTTGCTGTTAGATTATTATTTTTAGAATGTATAGGACCGCTTCTACCCCATTCTGGCCAGTTAATTGTACTTTGTACAATATTGCTATGGTTTGTGTTAATAAATGGTGGCAAAAACTGTGCATCACCGAAATTTATATTCATGAACGTACCACCATTATCATCATCACCACCACCACCACCACCACCACCATCAACACTAACACCTACACCATTTGGTCCGGTATCCTTACCATTATTATTGTTCTTATGCGTTGCATGATGTTGCTGAGACGCGACGTTGTTAATGCGTATACCAGTCTGTCCAGAGTGACCAGGATATTGCCCGATACCAATACCTACACCACTCGAGATCATGTTTATGCCTCCTTGACTTCCTGGTGCTAGCATAATACCACCGCTGCCATGGCCACCAAGGCCAATACCACCAAGTCCACCAACATTATTCCCCATAACATTAATGCCGCCAGCTTGTATTGGTATACGATTGAACTGATCAATATTTGTATTGATGGATGTACCACTTCCGCCATTCGTCGGTTTCATTTGCATACCACTATTGCTTACGCCAACGGCGCTATTGACGCCAATATGAACACCGCCGATTGGTATTAAACCTGTATTTACCCCATTGATTCCAATTGTGTTAATATTACTCATATGTTGATGTTGATTTATATTGGTCTGAGTACTGGCAACATCCATATTGGCAGTATTATCAATACCTGTTGTAAGGCCATTGCCGTCAGCCGTGTTTATACCAATAATAGTACCGCCAGCGCTAGCGCTACCAATAGAAGATGAGCTGCTAGAGCTGCCAGTATTTATTAACGTTTTGTTTTTCTCTTCAGGCGCACAACACACTTTGAAAACCACTTTCATATTATTTGTGGAGCATCGCCCACCTATTCGTCGATAAAGATCGTCTTTCGATGAAGTTGCTAGAATGACATAATCCAAGTTTAAGAATGTAAAACAAAATGGACGGACCACATATTATACTCACAAATGAAATAATAATCATTTCCAGGAAGGAACTCCAAACCACCTGGCTGTGGTGTAAATGGCCGGAATGTTATTGTAAAGAACATTAATTTTTGCGGTTTATCACAAATTGCTATAACGCGCGGAGTTGCATTTGTTATCCGACATGTCTCGTATTCCACTTTTGACACATTATATATTATATATTTTTCCGTTTCATTTTCGAAGGTGCCTGGTTCATATACGGGACATATAATATGCACTTGATCGAACTCGAATGCTAAGTTTCCTTTGTTTACATCAATTATATGGTCTGTATTATCTATACGAAATCTGAAATGAGAAATTATAGTCGTATATTATAAAATAATAATTGAAGAATATTTCATAATTGTAATGGTGATCAATCATATATAATGACATTGGTATCCGACTAAGCTATAAGAACGTACAAACAATTCTTATACAAAACTAACAAAACCCGCCCCGGCTTCACACGGGTATTAAAAAATCATTTCAAAATTTATAATTTTGTACATGAATGAAGGGAACTCGAATGAAAGTATTTTTTTTTTTTTTGTGTATTTTTTTTTTTTTTTTTTTTTTTTTTTTTTTTTTTTTTTTTTTTTTTTTTTTTTTTAATTTTTGTTGAAAGGCCTTTACTATATATTTTACATTCTCTGCGCTTGAAAAATAATTTATTGATCAGAGCTTCCCTGTAAATGATATTTGATGTTAATTTATTTTGTGTCAGCACTAAAAATTGATTTCCAGGACCTCCGACCTGCGATAGATCAACATACAATTGGCCATGAGTAAATCATTCTCGAAAGTTGGGCTTTGGTTCTTGTTTGTAGTTAGAACGAAAGATGTTTTCACTGGAAATTTAATCCGTTTAAATGGGATCGACAGATTACTTGAAATCATCAGAATCCTCGGTATATGAGCTAGTTGACCAGTTGCTGGGTAGGTGATAATGGTTTCTACAATGAAATTGTCCTTCAGTTCCTTAAAAAGTAGCCAAATTACGTTGCACATGCTTGGATGATTTACAACAAAAAGCATAATTGGAAGTAAATTTTTTAAAGCCAATTCATGTGGTGGCAGTCCAGAAGAGTTTAATGCAGAGTCTGTAGACTGCAATGCAGTCGATTAGCAGATGCTCCGGGGTTTCAGGCTCCCTCTCACAAAACCGGCAGTTAGCGCAAGAGGTTAGGAATTTGTTGAATAAATGCCTTTTCAACTTGCAGTGGCCGGTGTAGAATGCGACCAAAAACCTGAGTTTGTCTCTTGGGAGGTTAATTATCGATTAAAACTTGTTCTGGTTGTACCCCTCAATTGGCTTGTCGCATACCATGTGCTCGTTGCCAATGCCTTTCCCTATACTCTCTCTCTTCCTTGCGGAGCAGCTCCTTCACAGTATGGGGACCCACCATAGTGAATGGTTCGGGCCCTACCGTATTGGTGGAAGGTGCGGAGCGGGCGAGCTCTCTATGACCAGGTACCCAGATTAGGTGCATCTGCCGTTCCCACGACAGTCGGGTCTACGAAAACCGGAACGGACCCGGATTTTATCCGGCCAAGGACTGTCAACTCGGCAGAATTCTGCCGTTACAACAGCAACAACAACAACATTAGGTGCACCTGATTCTTTTCAGCTAGGCTGTTCAACCGTTCTCTACACTCCTGCATTAGTAGCGCTTTGATCTCATAAGAGATCGCTTTTAGTGCCGCTTGACTATCGCTAAGAATAGTTATTCGCTCGTAGCGATAGTTGCGATGGAGGTTTATCTCTATGCACCGACTTTTTTCCAAGACTTCGGCCTGAAAAATGCTCGGGAAGCTTCCGACGTTTTCGAGCCGTCGGTGTACCACTTCAATGTGCTATCCCTCAGTATTAGCTCTAGAGTGGAGTCGTTCCATTCATTCTTTCTGCCTAGGATAATCTTAAACTTCCTCGTGAAGTTAATTGTTTGGTAATACTGTCCTTCGGGAGGAGGGCAATTGGAATGTTGCCACGTAACATCTCCATCCTCTGGGACGAGATTACCTTGCCTTTGCCACATCCTTGTACTGTAATTTGCAGAAGTGAGTGCTTGGCTACTTGACCGATCACTATATGAAGCGGTGTGAGTTCCGGCAGGACCTCCAGAGCTGTCGTTGAGCAGGTTCGCATAGCGTGCGTCATGCAGATACATTCCAGCCGTTGAAGCTTCGATAGTTGGGTTCTCACCGAAATCAGCGACGCCGTAGAGGCATTTGTGAGCTATAATGCACTCATCTCAAATTATGATTCAACCTTTCCTTTTTCCGTAACAACTAATCACTATACATACATATGTGAACAAATATTACTGTACCCTGCCAGTAGCTGTGCGATGTTAAGACTATTTTTTTTTTGTAAGAAAGATACTCAAGTGAATCTTACATGAATATTGAATTTGGGAGGATGGTTTTGTTTTTTTATGAACGGGAATAAAAAAGAAGTCATTCGGCCAAGTCAGGAGTAAGCGGAAGATGATTAATGAAATCGATGTTTTCTCAAAAATACATTCTTTCTGTCAGTAAGTGAGAGTGCAGGAGGGAGTCATGTGTAGAAGTTCACGGAAGTAAGGAAAGTCTCTGAGCGCCATTTACTTGGGAGTATCCAACGATTCTTTGCATATGGCTCAAGCCGTTCACGACTTCCGGTTCTAGCTCAAGTATCTTCAGGGTAACCAAAAAAACATCCGTTTAAAGGGGAGCTAAAGTGAGAAGGGGAATCATCTCTCCCCACGGTTGAGCGCTTGGTTTGGGATCAACCAATTCGATTATGTTGTGATAGGCAGAAGACATGCCTTCAATGTTTTGAACATGCGTACGCTCCGAAGTCCGAACATTGACTTTGATCACTATCTTGTTGCTAAGGCTAGTCCTTCAAGAAGTTGGGTCGTAGTTCTTGACTTCGATCAGCAAGAATCAAGCAAGTAGTAGCAGCTTCGATTACCTCCGTTAGCACGATAGTTGGGTCTATATAACTGGAATGGACCCGGATTTTGTCTGGAGAAGGGCTGTCAACTCGGCACCATGCCTCGAAATTACTTTTGGTATGCTTTCTGCCGCTACAACAACCATTGCATTTCTCATCTTGCGGAAGTGATGTACGGCAACGAATACACCTTATACGGTTGGGTCGTTGAAAGTGGTCTCAGGGAATTCTATGAATCCGACCCAAAGAGCTTTGTTAAAGTTAACGCAGCGTAGATTGTCCACATAAATAAAGTCGGGTGGGATTCTCGATCGAGATTACTTTCTCTTGACAGTATTAAAATGTTTCTTACCGATTCAATCAGGATCAGACCGTCGAATTGAAAGAAATTCAACGATCAAAAAATGCTAGGGTCGATTGGAGAGAAATGAAAAATAATTTAACGGTTCTTAGAAAATTGTCTATGAAAACGTGACAGATGATGAATAGTAGTTTTTTGCGAACGAAGCACTTCCAAGCAGATGGTCGACAGTTTCTTTGGAAAACTGAATATGTCGCACCCATACCACTTAAATAACGCATAACAGTAAACTCTGACAGATATGCAACCATTTTCTTCATCACGACAATGCGTGTTCTCAAACATCGACTGAAACAACGGCATTTTTGAGTACTTAAAACATCGGATTGTTGAGTAATCGAGCGTAAAGTCTTAACTTGACACCGAATGACATATTTTTATTGCCGTACGAATAAATTAAACTAAGAGGTCAATGTTTTTCGATACCTGAAGAGGCTATTGATGCCTATCTTTTGGAGATACATCATTCAGAGTGGGAAAAGTGATTCGATAATTGGTTCAGACGCATGCGAAAGTGTATAATATAACCCACGCATGTTCAGTAATATTACATTTACCAGCAGTAATAACAGATACCAGGCACCTACAATATAATTTTTATAGAATAAAATTCAAATGTGAATCTAAAAGGAGAAGTTTAAATATCATATTATACTTATCTAATAAGGCAGCAATTTTAAAAGTTAGGACGGTGGCTATTGCAATCTTTGTTGCATAAAATTTTTCTTCAGCTATAAAAATATAAAATTTTTTAAAAGTAGCATTATTTTACCTTGTCTTACGAAACGGCTTCATCATACAGAGTTCAACATGAAGTGGAGGTAGTAAAGAGTTTCCCAATTATTCTTTATAAATAACAAACCCAAAAAAAAACCACACCAATCTGTCAATTTAGGTGAATATAATGAATGTTGACGATGGAGCAGACATTCCATTGCCCGACCACAAAAAACTTCTTGGTTGCTATTTTCCCATCTGAAGAACAAAAAAGCGGCGGGGCCGATGGATTCAAGGTCGAGTTATTCAAACACGGCGACTAAAAATTTATAAGGAGCATGCATCAGTTTCTTTTTAAAATATGGTCAGACGATTACATGCCTATTGATTGGAATTTAAATGTCATCTGCCCAATTCACAGAAAGGGAGACCCCACAATCTGCGCAAACTACCGTGGGATAAGCCTTCTCAACATCGCATAGAAGATTCTATCGAGCGTATTGTGTGAAAGATTAAAGACCACCGTAAACATACTGATTGGGACTTATCAGTGTGGCTTTAGATCTGACAAATCAACAACTGACCACATATTGACCATGCGCCAAATTTCGGAAAAGACCCGTGAAAGGAGAATCGACACACATCACCTCTTAGTTTATTTCAATGCTGCTTTCGACAGCACGAACCTTGCTACTTTATGCCGTGATGTCTGAATTTGGTATCCTCGAAAAACTAATATGGCTGTGTAAACTGACATTGAGCAACACCAAAAGCTAAGTCGGGATCGGATCTCTCCGAACGGATACCAAAGAAAGTTTCAGACAAGACGATTCCCTATCGTGCGACTTCTTCAATTTTCTGCTGGAGAAAATCATTCGAGCTACAGAACTTAATCGAGCTGGTATAATTTTTTACAAGAGTGTACAGGTGCTGGCGTATGCCGATGATATTAATATCATTGTTTTCTCCAGACTGTACAAGGAAGCAAAGCAAATGGGTCTGGCAGTGAACGAGAGCAAGACGAAATATCTCGAGTCATTAAACAGACAGACATAACTTTGAAGTTGTAGATAATTTCGTATATTTAGGAACCAGTATAAACACCACCAACAATGTCAGCCTGGAAATCCAACGMAGGATAACTCTTGTCAACAGGTGCTATTTCGGACTGAGTGGGCAATTCAGAGGTAAAGTCCTCTCTCGATGACAAAAAACCATGCTCTATAAGTTACTCATAATTCCCGTCCCCCTATATATTGCAGAGGCTTGGACGATGACAGCAACTGA